AGAAGTGGGTGGGTTCAAGAAACACTTAAGTGACAATCCATAGGGATCAATAATAATATACACAAGAGAGGTACAGAAGATCAGAGATGATACCTAAGCTTTAATTGACATGCCTAGATGGATAATAGAAAAACCATGTATAAAGGAATTACAGAAAAGATTCAGGATGCAGTGTTATTTATTGTTTTCCATTTTCTTTCAGTTAGAAGTGGAATATAAATATGGCTTTAGATACATGTCTCAAATACAAGAAGAAATGTCAGGCAGACAGCTGCTTCATATCCAGTTACATGCAACCCTGAGGCAAGAACTGGAAGGGAGATAAACATTTATGAAAAGAATGTGATACGGTTAGTAAATAAAACTATAGCCACAGAAAGTATAAGTAGAAAGAAGGTATTGCCGAAGAATGGAAAAGGACTGGGATCAAGCTTTGAAGGAGATCAAGATGACACAGACCAAAAGAAGAAGAAAGAAAGAAAAAAGGAAAGCTATGAACAAGCATTTCTTGGGCATAACACCTAACGTACACACAACAAAAGAAAAACAAACGAAAAAGTTGGAACTCATCAAAATTAAAAGCTTTGTATTTCAAATGACAGCACCAATATAGTGAAGGAGAAAAAAATCCCATGGAATAGGAAAAAGTATTTACAAATTATATCTTAATAAGATTATACTAGATAAAACCTTATGCTGGATACCACCAGTATGTATAAAGAACTCTTAAAACTCAATAATAGACAGCTCCATTAGAAATGGAGCTATCCATCAGAAATGATGGGCTGGCAAGGGATCTATCTGAATAGATATTTCTCCAAAGAAAGTATATAAATGGTCAATAAGAACATGAAAAAGATATCATTACTTATTAGAGACATACAAATCAGAATCATGAGACACCACCATGATGATGATGACTAAAGCAGAAATAGAAAAATTAAAGTAGAAAAGAAAGACAATAACAACTGTGGACAATTGTGTGTAGAAACTGGAACTCTCTTACGCTGCTGGTTAAGAATGTAAAATAGTGCAGCTACTTTGGAAAATAGTGCAAGTCACTCAAAAAGTTAAACATGTAACCCAGCAATTCCACTCTGGTATACAGAAATGAAAATGTATATCCAAAACAAAATCTTTTACATGAACGTTTTCAGCAGCATTTGTAACAATAAACCAAAAGTGGAAACAACTCAAAAGTCCATCAACAGATAAAGAAAATGCAATTTATCCATACAGTGGAATACTGTTCAACCATCAAAAAGGAAGAAGTACTGATACATGCTACCATATAGATGAACGTTGAAAATAGCATGCTAAAGTTAAAGAAGCCAGACAGAAAAGTCACATATTGTATGACTCCATTTGTATAAAATGTCCCAAATGGCAAAACCATAAAGACAGAAATTAGGCTGCCAGAGATGAGAGGCAGAAGGGAATAGTAAGTTCATACTAATGGACACAGGTTTTCCTGGGAGTGATGAAATATTCTAGAATTAAATGATGGTGATGCATGAACATTTTTTTTTTGGCATTAAAAAAAAAAAAAAAAAAAAAAAAACCAGCTCTAAATCCCGTACTTTAAAAAAGTGAAATTTTAGGAGGTGAATTATATGTGTATTCACAATTTCTAAAATATTCTGATGATGTAAAAAAAAAAAAAAGTCCAATACCTATCTGTGACAAAAACTCTGAAAAATAATAGATGAAAACTACCTCATGCTGATAAGGAACACCAAAAACCCCACAGCTAACATCCCATCAATGGTGAAAGACCCAAGATGGGAAACCAGCAAGGCTGTCCAGTCTTACTCTATACAGTGCAGGAAGCTATAGTAATGCAATAAGGTAAGAAGGCTTACAGATATGAGAGAAAACTGTTCTCATATGCAGATGATATGAAAATTATATAGAACATTCCAAGAAGTTACAAAATCACTAAGTTCTGAAAAACTGCAATCTAAGCTTGTTTAGCTTAAAATTTCATGCAGGTCTATACTTTCAGCTCTTTACTAACTGAAGAAAGCAGAGTGAATGGGCTTTGAGAAAGTAGAACAGTCAATGGTCTGAAGTCTAGAAAATTTAAAAAACAATTTCATTTTTTTAAAGAATGAGAATTGTTGAGCAAAATTTTTTAAAAAGGAGGAGGAGGAGTAGAAGCAGGACAGAGGGACAGATTTTTCCATTGCTGCTACAATTTCTTCATACCACCCAAATGTTCAGTGATCTTTGCAAAGAAGAAAATTAGGTAGTTTGTTATTTGACAGTTAATGAACATCTTACTGAGCTCTCAAAGTTCTATAGAGTAGTATCACCATTTGGGAGTATAACATCATTTGGACTGGAAATTATACAAAAACTCAGAAAAATAATAGATAAAAACTACCTTTATACATACGCATTTACATTACTTCTTTCCTTGAAATAACCATATTTGGCTCTAACCATTTAAATATTAATACTACATTAGCTAAAAGTATAGAACCCCAAGAATTTTTAGATTGTCTTCCTTACCATTTGCTATTTTTTAAACACAGATGCCTAAAAGAACTATTTTCACCTTCAATCCTACCCTAAGCCCATATATACCTGCAGACAAAAATAGCGGACACACATATACTCACACACAAAATAAGGAAATGTGGGGGAAATATTTACACCTAGGCATTTAGATTACAGTGTTGCTATGATGCACCCAGTGTTACACAACTTTGGTATTCCTGATGCTTAAATTCATATTTTTCACATTCAGTGAAATCCACAGTGGACATATATAATCTTCTAGGCAAGGCCCCAACACAGATTTGATTCTTTTCCCAAATGCTGGCACTATAATGAGATTCAATTTCATAGTGATAGTAGAGGCTATAAAGTACAAACTTGCTTTTCTGCTACTACTTCTAATTCCTTGCCCAGCATTTTATCTTAGTAGCAATGGTTTTTAAACTGAGAAACCACACAAACTAAACAAGTTCACACAAAACTAAAAAGCATGTGTCAGGCAGCTAACTGCCTGGGTCCCTATCTCTGGATACCCATCAGTTCCATTCATCACCAGCCCACAACTCAGACACCGGAGTTCAGTTTTAAGCTTTACCCAGGATATGACACGAAAATCATATACAAATTTGCAAGCTAACAGAGAAAATGATGCCATAAATAAAATTATCTACAAATTATGCAGTTATAGGAAAATGAACAATAAGAAAATTTCACGAAATAAAAATGATTTTTGATGGTAATAGCTAAATTATGATAAATATTATTCATTTTTTCTTTTAATATGATGTATATTTTTATAATCATGAAAAATAAATAAGTGGGATTAATAAAAGTAATCTTAAATCACTTTAAGCATTTTATAAGAAGCATGCTATCCAAAGTAAAATTCCTTAGGAATAATAATGGAATAATGGTGGGTACACAGCAGAGTGTGTCAAAAGACCCAAACTCCGGCTGGGGTTACAGCTCGGTGGTACAGCACATGCCTGGCATGTGTGAGGCACTGGGTTTGATTCCCAGCACCACATATAAATAAATAAATTAAATAAAGGTCCATCAACAACTAAATATTAAAAAAAAAAGACCTGAACTCTTGTTACCTGTTGTCTGTTCCTTACATACCAAGCATGCATCATTTTTGACACACTCAAGATATTTAAAATCTTAAGGCTATTTTATGATATACGACCCTTAACAATTCTAAAACAGGTATGATGCAATGATATTATCAGTTAAAAGTTCTTAGGGGCAATTGACCTTCTGATGACTTTTCATTCATGCAGTAATTCACTCCTGTCTTTTCCTCCTTTTCTGGAATTTGACTTGATCTCAAAAACAAGCTCACAGAATACTAAAACGAATAAGGGAGCTGTCAACAATAGGCTGTAGCTCATTTCATTTATTCAATAACATTTATTTCATACCTACCACATGACTGGGATATTTGAGGTACTAAGCTCATGCTCAGTGGGAATTAAAAAAAGGAAATAAAATTAAGTTCCTGCCTTCATGAGTAAACAAATATTCACTGGGATAAGTGCTAGAAGGAATCAATCAGGGTTAAGGGCAGAGATCCCTTGGAGGACTAGACACACTGTTCTGGGTGGCTCTCTAATGAAGGGATGCTACAGCGGTGATCAGGATGAAGTGAGGAAGAGGGTCACATGATACCACAGAGTGAATGTTTCAGAAAGAAGGAAAAATAAGCATAGAGAAGCGGGACACAGTGGCGTTCACCTGTAATCCAGCGGCTCTGGAGGCTGAGGCAGGAGGATCATGAGTAAAAAACTAACCTCAGCAACTTAGTGAGGCCCTAAGCAACTTGGTGAGACTTTGTCTCAAAATAAAAAATAAAAAAGAGCTGGTTAAGCATCTTTGGGTTCAATTCCTGGTACCAAAAACAAAAAACAGAAAGCACAGAGGCCCTGAAACAAGGGATGCTCAAAATGTTCAAAATTAGCCAGTAGGTCAGTGAATGTGGCAGGAGCAGAGAACTTTCAGAAAGAACAGTAGGAATGACATCAGAATGGGGGTCTGTGCCAGATCACAAAGGGGCAGGTAGACCATGGGGAGCCACTGAATTGTAGTCTGGGTGTGGATGTGGGGCAGGAAATTAGCAGCACCAGATTTATAACCCTGGTTGCTATGTGCAAAACAGACTTCAAGTGTGGACAAAGAAGAGAAGCAAGGATACGGCTGAGAGGCTGCCACAGTGCCCAGGTGACATACCACGATGGCCTGAACCAGGAAGACACCAGCAGCAATGGTGAGAATTGAGAATGTTTTAAAAGCCAAGCCGACAGGATTAGCTAATGGATTCATTATGGGTTATGAAACAAAGTCAGTGATGACTCCATAGTTCCTGGCCGGGAAAAGTGGATGAATGAAGGTTAAGTTTTAAGACCTAGAAGCCCTTACTAAAAATTATCTAGTTCAGAAATAGCATAAGCTGACATAAAACTGAAAAGGCAGAAGCAGATTCTGCTTTTTCCACTCACCGTTTGCGGATTGTATCATGTTTCCAGATTTTTGGACTTCATCAAATTTTGTAAAAATGACATTCAGCCTGTATGAAAACAAAAATGTATACAAACTATTAACCATTGCTATCTATAATTAACAAACACTAAGGTGAAGTTGAGTTCCATCCCAATAATATTATCCATGATACAAATGCACTTAATAACATAGCTTTATTTTGATATTAACAATATACAATAATAATTGAGCACCTACTATGGTCCCAGCACTGGTATAAGCGCTCTACCTAGAAATCACATTTAATCCTACAAGAGTCTCATGAAAGATTACCATCACCCCATTCTATAGAGGAGGAAATCACCTACACACACACCTTACTAAAGGGACATAATTAATGGGGTGAAGATTCCAGCCCCAACAGTGGAATCCATAGCCCCCATTCCCAATTATTATATTAATCATGACTCCGTACATAAAATGTATTCGTGATAAAAAGTGCATATTCTTCCTATTTCTAAGCCCAGACTTCCAGTTACTTTGGATAAAGCTTTAAAAATCCTTTAATATCACACTACAAAGGCTTCTCTGTGGCTTATACTTAATTCAAAATGCTATAAATAATTTCTCTAGAAACCAACGTCGTGACTGCACAATTTTCAACTTAGAAAGTCTGCATGACATTTGTTTTCTATTAATGGATCATTTCACCTTGGCATTTAAATTGAAACAAAACTCCTTAATCAGTCAAAATATTCCATCCTAGTAACATCAAAAATGAGAAGAAAAGGGTGCACACAGCATTAACTCATAGTTAATGTTAAGTAAAAAAGTGTCTCCTGAGCAAAACACAGATACATTGGAATGAGTATAAAGGTTGAGATTCCAAAGCAAGTACTTTGCAGTCAAACCTATGACATTCATTTCTGAGACCAGATTATTAATTTAGTACTTTCTTACACACCATCCTGTGTAAATGTTTGTTTTAAATTAGAATGGAAGCACCCTGGGGAGTGAGAAGGGAGCAGTATTCTTTCAGTGTCTATACCATGTACCCAAAGATGATCACTTAGGAGAGTCCCATCATGGTGTTAGAGAGCTGGTACCTAATCCTGTCCCTGTTTCACTCTGGAACACTTTAGACATTTCACACATTCTGGTCTTAGTTCATTCCTTCAACAACACCTGAGCATCCATGATGTGCCTAGCACCAAGCTAACTCAATGCTAAATGTATAAGGTTCTTAACCTCTGGAGCTTTAATTCAAAGTATCAGGGAAGCCAAAACTATAGATCAACTTTTAAAATGAAGGGGATGAACCAGCCTGATACACTGCTTTTCCTTCTTCCCATAGAAGGTATCGTAATCTTTTCAAGTCATCTTTCCATCAAAGCTCAGATATAGCTTTATAATCCTTCCTAAAATTGCTCCAGGCAATCACTAACAAAGTGTACACTGAAATAAAACTCTAGTTTCCATCCAGGACCAGATATGAGTAAAGTATCACATTCAAATCCAGTGCTTACTAAAGATCCAGAAAGATGCCTGAGAATCAATTTCATAAGATGTTTCCATTGCCTTCCCTTTTAAAGTCACAAAGATCTCCAATGGCTTGGCAAACCCATAAATACTATTACTATACAGGTTGCTAGGGCATGCCTCAACTAAGGTGTGACTTTATTTTGTCACAGCCACACCCTCTGACATGAGCTCACCTACAGGATTTCAAGTTAGGCTGAGGTATACCTCTAGTCCTGGTGTCCCTGAAATCACTAGAAAAGGGCAAGTATTTCCTCCATACCTAGGAGAGTACTCCCAATAATAAATAGCATGTGTGTGGGTTCTCTATCAGTGGTGTGATCTAATCACTGTGGCCACATGAACCACAATCAGGTGTGGCAGAAATCAGGCGTGAGATCACTGAGAAGGGCACTGTGGTTGGCACCTGCACCTTAACTCGGAATTTCCTGGGGCAAGAGGGCCCTTCCCTCCAGTTCTGCACTCTTTTTTTAGTTCCCCCCTTTACTCAATAGTGTCCTCCAAAATGTCTCCTACCAATGTCACCACCTCAAGAGAGCAGTAACCTGGCAATATGACAGAGGAACAACAACAACATTTCTTGAGAATACTGACACTTGTCTGCCACTCTGAGCACAGGAACTGAAGTGCAACCAGGCACAAGTCTAAGGGGGTGAATCACACAAGTTCAAATCCAGGCACAGCAGAGCACGCCTATGGTCTCAGATACTTGGGCGGCTGAGGCAGGAGGATTGCAAGCTTAAGACAAGTCAGCAGCTTAACAGGACCCCAAGCAACTCAGTGAGACCCTATCTCAAATTTTTAAAAACTCAGTTGTAAAATGTGCCTAGGTTCAATCCTCGGCATCAAAAAAAAATGTAAAATAAAGATAATGAGGATATAATCATTACCCTTTGAAGCCATTAGGTGTATTTCTTTTTTTTTCCAAAGGTTGAATTTTTTTTATTATTTTCTCCAAAATAAGGGAGGGGTAAAAATAAAAACAGAGAGAGAGAGAGAAAGGGAGAGGGAATTTCATCAAAATAGAGGAAAGATCAGTAGAGCAGATGAGGGGATTGAGAAGGGAGGAAGGACAGGAAAAGGGAAGGACAGTGGAAGTGCATGCTTGAATGTGGCACGGTGGGTCCTGGCAATGGGTGTATCCACAGGACTCTAATTTTTAAAAAAGTAAGCTCTAAATGGATTGAAGAGGTATCTCTGGAGTGGAGGGTGGGGAGGAGTGGGGTGGGCTGTGGGTGGGGTGGGAAGTGCTGGGAAATGAATTGGAGTGCATTGTGTTCCGTGCTTTTGTGATTAATGTCATGGTGTGTCGTGGTGTTTATGTAGCTAAAAAGAATATAGTTTTAAAAATGCATGCATAACAACATGGTGAGCATGGTGGCACTAGTGTAATGAGGCTATTGGCTGGGAAGATAGGGTATTCCTGAACTTACCTTTCCTCTAAAAGAAACTGGAGAGAAATTTAGGAACTGCTTCTTCCAGTGTGAAGAGGTAGATGAACAGTGTTCACTGAAATATGTGTCACAAGAGTAGCACTTGAACACTATGTAAAGTGGGATATATATATTTGGTTCCCAGTAGCTCTACAGAGAACCAAGATTACACCTGTGTAAACTGAGCAATTAGACCTGTAAACTAGACCTACATTCTTGTGTAGGTGTCCCTCAGGAATATAGAAAAAGAAAATTGGGGGACATTGCATTATAAGAATGATGAAATGTAGATTAATTTGATGTGAGTAAAATAAATAGTCTACATTGCAAACAATTTCCTATCCTCTTGATTGATCACTTATTTGAATTGGGAAGCAGTTAATTGCCAGTAGCTATTATTGATGAGGATTAAGCCAGCTGTTCCAGTTCAGAAAGTGTGTTTACATACCGTCTGCTACTTTTTGGCTTTGGCCAATGGTGTTATTGCCTTGTCACTATTTAAGTGTTTTGTAGGTATATTTTTTTTACTTTAAATCTTTGGAATGTAATTTAAAATCTATTTCTTGAGGCCAGTGCATGCTTAGCATGTGTGAGGCCCTGGGTTCAATCCCTTGCACCCCTCAAAATGAGTCAATGAATCTCTTTTACTAGTTTGACAAATAACTACTATTCACTTTCCCCTAGTTTTTCTGAATTTGAATTTTTATAAGTAAATTCTTCATCCAAACAATTTTGTCTTTTTTTTACTATAAGACTTAGATTTAACTTCTTCCTAGAAAAATATATAGTGAAAAATATGAATTTTTAAAAATTCTCTTGAATTGGGATATAGCTGAGTGGTAGAGCACTTGCTTAAGATGCTCAAGGCCTGGGTTTGAGCACCAGCACTGCAAAAAAGAAAGAAAGAAAAAAAAACAAAACTAGAATTTAAACCAGAAGCAAACACTAAAATCTCAAAGTTAACAAGCTACATCCAAACACTCAGCTTCTAGTAAGCTTTTCAGTACTTGGTACTCAATTATGAGTATCAAGGACTACAGGATACCCGAGAAAAGATTTTAAAATGAAAAAGAGCAAAACAACCACATACTGAAAAATTCCAACTTGGACGACAGAGAGATAGATGTTGGTGAAAAACACAAGTTTTAAGACCATATCACTGATTTTTCCAAAGAGAGAGAGAAAATATTGCAGTCATAAGGCAAACAGGAAATGAACCCTGCAAAATGGCAAAAAAAGGACCTCTGAAAATCTATTGCTTAAAAGAAGTAAAGAGAACACTGGAAAAACCTTTTAAAATTAACGTTGTTTGGCTGGGGATGTGGCTCAAGCGGTAGCGCGCTCGCCTGGCATGCGTGTGGCCCGGGTTCGATCCTCAGCACCACAAACAAACAAAGATGTTGTGTCCGCCAATAACTAAAAAATAAATATTAAAATTCTCTCTCTCTCTCTCTCCCCTCTCTCTTTAAAAAAAAAAAAAAAGCCTAGCTTTTAAAAATTAACGTTGTCAAAACTCTAGAGGTTGAACAAAGGCTTGCAACAATGCAAGGAGCATATCTTCAAATTAAAGGGCCTGATCTCGGTAATAGAGTGGGCTTTTTGTTGTTTGGGTGTATGTACCCTGGCTCTGTCTCCAGCTTGGCAGTGAGAAAACCCACTGCTCACAATTGTGATGGTTTGAAAACCAGGCACCTGGCATCCACAGGAAATGCTAACAAGTCTGGATCTCTCCAAAACACCTGCTCTCAGACTGCCATGTGACCAATTATTATATTAATTGTGACTCCCTACACAAAATGTATACATGATAGAAACCCCATTCACAGGCTTGTCATCACTTGGCCAGACTCAGAGCTGCCTTGGGGTGAGTTTCTTTTTCCTGAGGACATGATCAAAATGTCAGCAACCATCACCCAACATGACAATGCACTGAGGCAATACAATCAGGACAAAGAAGTTGTCCAAAAAACTTTTAAAGCTGGGGAATGAGATGCCCATAGGAACTTTGAAAGCAATGACATATTCCCCAGAATCTAGAGGCCGTGCCTGTGTGAGAGGACATGTGCCTGCCCAGGAAATACCTGAGAGGGCACTAATGTCTCACTTGGGCTGATGT